CTGCAGATGGATGGACTCATGCAGGGTCTCAGCAGGCACATGGCCTCCACCCCGGCGCAGGGCAGGACAGGAATGGAGCTGCAGTGTAGGTGGCTGATGCCCCCTCAGCTTATGACTTCTGAGGGTGGCCAGGGGGCTGGCGGCTACTGCGCTCCGAGACATTGCGCTTCACCTTGGTGGCTGTGCCAGTGGGCTCCGCGTTGAGCGAGGGGCTGGAGCGGGATTTTTTCAGGCCATCATCCTCCCCACCTGCTGCGTCAAAGAGGGTGGACTCAAACGCTGCCAAGTCTTCGGAGCCGGCCTTCAGCTTAGCCCGCAGCAGCATGGCGTAGGTGCCATAGCGGGATTTCTGAGGGGGCACAGAACAGCAGAGAGAAGGGTCAGTGAGCTGGGCCCTGCCCCTCAGAGAGGATCCCGGGGTAGGGGGGATGCTGCTCGTGCTCCTGGGACCACAGCAGCGGCACGGTGCAATTCAGCTGACAGGCACAGGGGAGCCCACCCCTCAGGACGGCCGAACAGGCAGGAGCAGAGAAGGGGTGTCTCCAAGCTTACCTCAAACTCCAGGTAATCTTCCTTCTGCTTCAGCTCCTCGTACTCCTTGCCCTTCACCTTCTTCTCGGGCAGCGAGGAGCGATGCTCCAGCAGCTCCGCTGACATCGTCTTGAACTTAGACTCATGGCTCTTCACCTGCTCCTCCTAGGGAAGGGTGGTACCCACATCAGTGCCCTGTTCTGCCCTCTGCACTGCCCTCCTGGCAGTGTGAACCAGCCAGGGCCAGAACAGGTTTGTTTTTTTTTCTCCTCACTTCTTAGGTCCAGCTAGGATCTCAGCTTCTGCTCCCGGGTTTGGGTTTTTGGGGGGTTTTTGTTTTGTTTTGTTTTAAATAGGAGGCAAAAGCACAGGCCCCTGGGGGCAACCTGCTCCTGCCTCACAGGGGACTAGCTGCAATCTTAAAGAAAAATTTAATCCCTTCTGAAACTAGACTGGTGGGTTGTTTTTTTTTAATCATCTTTTCTGCTCCATGAATAACCATCCTGGCATGCACGAGCACCACCTAATCCCCCGGCTGGTTGCCTTTCAAGGTCCTGGCCATGTCGGGACCCTGCATGCTATGGTGCAGGACCACGTTCTGCTCCACAGTCTGACTCCATTGCCTGTCTCCCAGCCCCGCTGGAACAAGACCTCACTGTCTGCCCCCAGTCTTAGCAGCCCCTTGCTTTGTGTCTCCCCAGCCATACTCCCTCAGTCCTGCACCCTACTGAGTGTGTGGCACCCCACGGGTTCCTCCCCAGGGGACAATACCACCAGCAGACCCTGGAGGTGTGTCCCATGCTCCTGACTGTCCCCACACCATGGCTCACCTGGGACAGCCTGGTGCAGGAGCTGGGCAGCAGTGGGCGGCTGAACTTCTTCTGGGAGCCGATGGCAGCGGGGAAGGGGGGTGCAGAGAACATGGCTGCCACCACATTGATGCGTGTGATCCATGAATGCATCTGTTCGGGGTTCCTGGGGAGAAAGGCCAGATCGCAAATGGGCTCTAAATGGCACTATCTGTGTCACAGGCAGAGGGATCGGCCCTGCAGACAAGGTACAGGTACCTCAGGCCTGGCCCTGGTCAGCCACAGCACATGAGGCTCTGCTCCCAGCATCTCAGGTCATCGTGAGACCATCAGACTGGGAAGAAGAGTTTCTGGGCAAAGCACAGCACTGACACTGGGTCCCTTTTGTTCCAGAAAGGCCAGGACAGGAGAGGGCAACGTGGCCTTAAGCTCCATACCACCCTCCATCCCAGTCAAACAAGCCCCTGCACTCCAGTATGGGACCCGGACTGGTGATCCAGGGGGACTCACTGGGCTTGGAAGAGGAAGACCCTCCAGTCAGCTGTCCTGAGGTAGAAGACATTGGGTCGCTTGCTGTAGTCAGATGCCCGTGTGGCAAGCGAATGGTGGATGCTAATAGCGTTCTTCAGCTCTTCTTCTGCTAGCGCCTTCCCTGGTTTATACTCCTCCTGCAAATCACAGGGCACTTCAGAGCCAGCCTAGGGATGCACCCCACCATGAGTCAGCTCTATGAGGCCACCGCAGGGAAGTGTTGGCAGTGGTGGAGCTTGGATCACCCTCTCGCAGGGTGCTGCAGGTTCTGCCTCCAGCTCATGGGGAAAGACTGCACAACGTGGGCTTGGCAACAGCACAGTGGCCATTCCTCACTGCTCTGCAGCTGGGCAGTGTGGGTGCCTGCAGCAAACTGTGTGTGCAGACCAGCTGCCCCTCGCCG